AGAAGAAAACATAGACAAAACATTTCACAACATTGGGTTGGGCAAGAATTTTTTAAACAAGACCTCAAAAGCACAGGCAACAAAAGCAAAACTAGACAAATGGGATTACATCAAACTAAAAAACTTTCTCTCAGCAAAGGAAACAATGAACAGATTGAAGAGAAAACCTATAGAATGGGAGAAAATAGTCACAAACTATATATCAATTATCCAGAATATATAAATAACTCAATAACAAAAAAACGAAATAGCTTAATTAAAAAATGAGCTAAAGATCTTAATAGAAATTTCTCAAAAGAAGACATACAAATGGTCAACAGGTATATTCAAAAATGCTCAACATCACTAATCAGTAGAATGTGAAGCAAAACTACAGTGAGAGACTCACTTCAGCTAGAACAGCTATTATCAAAAAGACAAAAGAAAACAAATGTTGGCAAGGATGGGGGGAAAGGGAGACTTGCACACTATTGGTGGGAATGTAAATTATTACAGCCAATATTGAAAACAGTATGAAGGTTCCACAAAAAATTAAAAATAGAACTTGTGATTGACTTTCAGAAACCCAATGTGAATTTCAGTGGAGTGACTGAAAAACCCCAGTGCTGGGGTGGCCTAGGTGTACTCCATGCAGAACCCTATTGGGAGGGAAGTTCCTTGATTTACAGCCACTATTCTTGGGCTTGCAGTGTGTGAAACTGAAGGCCCTGGAAGAAGATTTGAAAGAAGCCTGGGAAAGGAGGGAAGGAGAGAGGAGAGAAGTATCTGCTGATGTCACTCCAAATTATTTCTTTTGTTGTTGTTGTTGTTGTTGTAGAGAAGAGGTCCCACCAAGTTGCCCTGCCTGGTTTCAAACCCCTGGGTTCAGTCTAAGTTATTTCTGTGTTTGTTTGTTTGTTTTGAGTTGGAGTCTCACTCTGTTGCTCAGGCTGGAGTGCAGTGGCACACTACGGTTACCGCAGCCTCGACCTGCTGGGTTCAAATAATCCTTCCATCTCAGCCTTGCAAGTAGCTGGAACTAGTCACGTGCCACCACGCCCAGCTAATTTTTTGATTCATTGTAGCGATGCGGTCTCGCCAATTTGCCCAGGCTGGCCTTTCCCCTGTGGGTTCAAGCAATCCTCTCACCTCAGCCTCCCAAAGTGCTGGGATTATAGGCGTGAGCTACCGTGCCCAGCCTATTCAGGTTATTTCTTAAAACTACCTTGTCACTATTGATAGAAATGTAAATTAGTACAACCACTATAGAAAACAGCGTGGAGCATCCTCAAAAAACTAAAATTAGACCTACCATCCAGCCATCTCACTTGTGGATATATATCTAAAAGAAAGGAAATCAATATGTCAAAGAGATACCTGCACTCCTGTGTTTACTGCAGGACTGTTCACAGCAGTGGAGACTTGGAATCAACCTAATGCCAATAATGGATAAATGGATAAAAAATGTGGTATATCTATGCAATGGAATACTCTTCGACCATAAAAAAGAATGATATTTTGACATTTGAGACAAAATGCATTAACCTGGACATTATGTTAAGTGAAATAAGCTAGACATGGAAAGACAAATACCACATGATCTCATATATGAAATCTAGAAAAAAGTTGATCTCATAAAAGTGGAGAATAGCTTAGGGGTTATAAGAGACTGGGGAGGGGATGGGGGAGAGGAGGGTGGGGAGAGGCTGGTCAAGGAGTACAAAGTTACAATTAGTTAAGAGGAGTAAATTCTGGCATTGTATCATACAGTAGGGTGACTATGGTTAACAGTAAGGTATTATATATTAAAAAATAATTTAAAAAGAAGGTTTTGAATATTCTCACCACAAAGAAATGATAAATGTATGAGGTAATGGATATACTAACCATTCTGATTTGGTCATTACAAATTGTATACATATATTGAAAAATCAAATTTCACTCCATAAATATTTATAATTAGAGTGCATCAATTAAAAAATTGAAAGAAAAAAAGAAAATTGCTAGATTCTTTTCATATGATCCATGCTAGATTAAAGTCTTCCTAATTCTGTGATTATGTAATTGATTTTTTGGACCTAAATTTTGTACTGTATCCTTTGCAGTTTCAACTGGTTTGCTTCAGTGCATGCATCCAACCCGTTGAGTTGTTCTGAATTCTGAGTCAGCCCCATGTTATTAACAGAACTACTAAGTCTACCTTCTGTCAACTCTCCTAGGTGCGGATAAAATTGCCAAACAAAATGGGCCTAAGAACAATTTTTGTTCCTGTGTTGGGAGAGGGGCTTATCATGTTTGATCATAACCAGACATAGTCTTTCGAGAGACCACCTCAAAACTGCTAGGCAAATCCTTTTTTCTTACATTCCTTGAACCCAGAGTTTCTCCTCAGACCTACTGACATTCTAGATTGGATAATTCTTTGTTGTGTGGGGCTGTCCTGTGCAATCAGATGTTTAACAGCACCCCTGGCTTCTACCTACTAGATATCAGGAGTGCTGTCCCTCTCCTCACCAGACATCCAGAAATATCTTCTGACATTGTCAAAATTTCTTCCACTTTCATTTGCAACCACTGCTTTAACCTCATAAATGGATTAAACAATCAAGTACTTACTTTTTAAAAATTAACAACTAAGTACTTACTAAGAACCTGCTATTTGCCTAACACTTGATGATTTCTGTGAATACTGAGGAAGACATGGTCCTTGCTCTCAAGAAGACTATACTATAAGAGACATGACCAAGCCCATAAAACCGCTGGGAGAAGAAAGTCCACTACTGAGTAGTCCAATATGCAAACCAGACTGTATGACCTGCAGTAATTCAGAGAAATGAGAAGATTAGTGAGAATAGAAATTTCAATAGCTCAGACTTGATTGGATCGGGTAGTTTGAACATAAATAGGCATGGAACGTTTCCTTCTAAACCAAAAATATATAGTCATCACCTATATTATTTAGGTATCTGTGTTTTTTATATATAGGCAAACTCCCAAAATATAGACATTATCTTCTAAATAAAAAAAATTGGAGCACATAATTTGATATATAGTTTGACAGTGGCAGAATATTTGTATCTGAAATCATACCTCTCTTAGAGAATTTGAGGTATGTGGTTTCAGAAGATGTGGAGGTGGTGGGCGGGAGGACATTCAGGTGGGAAGAGTGCTGTGAACAAAGGTGAAAAAGACCAAAAAGGAACAGGAGGGTACCAGGGTTCATGCTGGACTGCCTGAGAAGCAAGGAGAGAGGGCTGAGATGGAAACAGGTCACAGAAACACTGAAACCTGGCATGGGCATTTAGTCTCTGATGTTTTTGAGGGCAGGAGCAGCAGGACGAAGGGAAGACAATCTGGCAATGGATTGTTTGGGGGCAAATGTGCTAGAGGATACAGGAGGAGAGCCTGATAAGAGGTGGCTGAATGGGCAGAGGAGTCATGAGCAAAGTAGGAGAGGTTCTTTGGAAAACCAAGTGGGAATCAGTTCCTACGAAGTGTTTTGGACATTTAAGGGGAGACTCTCCCTAATTTCTCATTTTGGAAACTGGGAGAACAGTGGTGCCACTGACACTCTTCTTTTCTTTTAACGCTTGAAATAGGCTTATTTTCCTTGATCAATCTTACCACATTCTGATTGTTCTTTCCTTAGGGATGATAAAGATAGATTTTAGGGAGCAATAGCATTTGATCAGGGCCAGGAATGCTGGGTAGGATTTGAGCTGATACAAATGAAATGGAAATGTGTATGGGGGGTGGTTGGGGGAGAGTCTGATCAGAGGCAATGGCATGAGCCATCAGTATGTTTGGCAAAAATGTATAGCTGTGGATGACAAAAGTAGAATGTCAGTACCTGGTTAGGGTAGGTAACATGAAAAACTGAGGAGAATGACACCAAGCCCAAGCCAGCTACCTCTCAGCTACCTCTTTGAATAATGGTTTTAGCTAGGCGAGGTGGCTCGCACCTGTAATCCCAGCACTTTGGAAGGCTGAGGCGAGAGAATTGCCTGAGCTCAGGGGTTTGAGACCAACTTGGGCAACTTGGTAAGACCTCGTCTGTACAATAAATCATAAAAATTAGCCAGGCAGTGGTGGCGCATGGCTGTAGTTCCAGCTACTTGGAAGGCTGAGGTGGAAGGATTGCCTGAGCCCAGCAGGCCGAGGCTGTGGTGGCGGTGAGCATGCTACTGTACCCCAGCCTGGGTGACAGAGTGAGGCTCCAAATAAAAAAAAAAAAAAAAAAAACGAAAAAAACCATGGTTTAAAATTTCTTTTTCTGAGCTCCATAGAGCCACTACATTAGTTATTATTACAGAGCAAGCTTTGTCCTTGGAGGAAGAAGATTCAGGTCTGTAACAACCAGTCTTTTCTCTTTCTAGCCTAGAGATTCTTACTGTGATCTGGGATCCTGGAGAAAAAGGCTGGGTAGAGCTAGATTCCTCATCTGACAGGTGTTCTTGGGAGCTTGCCTCTTTTCCTACCAGGTAACTAGTCTTTCCTTCCTTCCCTTCCCTCTCCCTTCCTCCCTCCCTTTCTTCCTTTCTCTCTTACTCTGTGGGTCTCTCTTTCTCTAAAATACAATTAGGAAGAAAGAGGTATCTGCTATGAGACTCTCCGGTGCACAGGTGTGAGGGACAGCTTTTCTGCCTTAATCAGTTATCGCCCATTCACTTACTCTAGCTCAGAAGTTGATTTATCTTCTGATCTTCAAATGCTAACTCTCATGGAACTTGTAAGTGTCTGTCTTCCTACACCTAGCATGAAGAAAAAAAAAAAAAAAAAGAATCCTCAACAGACTTATAAGCACATAACAGCAATATCAGAATTCCTAGGTGTGAAGCAAGTGTTGTCTGGCCTTCAGGAAGCAGCTCCCTCCACAGTACTCAGGTAAGGCCCCATCACCAGCATGCACACCCTCCCTGCTTCCCATACCAGGTCACCACACCCCTAAGGAATTAGATAACAGGATATAGTATAAAATGTTTTTTATTTCAAAATGGAAAATGGTGGTCATTTTAATAATAATAATAATAATGATGATGATGATATAAAAAGCATTTCTCTTTTCTCCTTAGTGCAAAATGGTAGATGCATTTAGATAAATCAAAGAAACTTGGACACGTCATCACAATGCAGTGCTGCACAGCAGCAAAACTCCATCCCAAACTCCTTTTGGTGGATCTGTGTGGGAGGTCAGTTCTAGATGTCAGTGACTCCTCCAAAGGAGGTCCAAACAGCACACGCTTCTGCTGTCTCCCAGCTGAGTCGGGCTTGTGCGTGCTCTCCCTCCGGCTTCCTCCCGTCTCTCCGTCGGTTGCTTGTCTCTCCCACACCTCCGGTCGGTCTCCCACCGTTCCTAGGAGGCGTGTAGCCGGTTGGAGAGGGCCCGGACGCCCAGGAAGGCCTCCTGCTGCTTGTCTTTCTCCAACAGGGCTTGCTTCCGGAGAGCCTGCCGCTCTCTGGCGGCCCGCAACTCGGCCACGGCTGCCTCCTCGTCCCGCAGACGGCTGGCGGCCGTGAAGGGACTGCACACAGTCTCCACCAGGCCCAGCACCACGCCGAAGAGGGCCAGCACGCTGCCCAGCACGTACAGCTTCACTAGCTTCCCCTTGGGCTTCTGGGCCATCATCTCCTTGGCCAGAGGGATCAGCTCCTGCACCGTTTCCATCAGGGCTCTGGGCACTCACTGGGAGCTGGAATGACCTGCAGGAGGAGCGAAGCCGGACAGGAGGGCCTTTAGCCATCGGAGGTCGGCTCCACCCTCCGGGGCACCCCCCAGCCAGCACTCGTGGGAAGGGCCCGTAGAAGGGGGGACCGCCGCGGGACACAGCGGACCACCCTCCATCCCGGGACCCCGGAACCGCGCGCCCCGGCCGGGGCTCACCTTAGTGGCGCAGCGCGAGCCGGAGGCAGCGTGAGCTGGAGGAGGCGGCGGTCGACAAGTCGGTCGGTCCGGCTGGCCTTTGCGCTCTCCTCCTTCTCGGCAGCCGCAGCTCTTCCAGATGGAGACTCCGCAGCTGGCACCTGGTCTGCGTCCCGGGGCCGCTTATATCTTTTCTCCGAGACACGCCTCCTGCGCTCCCTGGCTTGGGCCGACACTGCACTAGCCAGAGCGTGAAGGACGGGGAGGAAGAGGGGGAGGGGAAGAGGAGGGGGTGGAACCGGGCTGGGACCTGAAGCCCGTGGCCACGAGCTGTGCACGCCCCGGCTGTGTGGACTGGGGGACCCGGCACGGGGCCACTGCGGCGGGAGTGCGCCGGAGGACAGTTCTGCAAGCAGAGGGCCCGCTCCAGGTGTGCCCAAAGGGAGGTCCCCGAGCCCAGCGAGCTGTCCCCGGACGTTTCTGGCATGAGTGGTGTCGGTGGGTGCACAGCTTCCCTTGTCCGGGGCAGCCTGAGTAGGACCCCTAATGAGGGAATCTGGGGGTTCTACCTAAACGAGAATTCCTTCACTTTTATTCAGAAAGGTTGTTACCTTGCCATAAGTGAGGAATCCATGGGAGAGGCGAGGGGGCGGAACCCGGGTAACAGTAGGACAGGTGACGTCTGGACAAAGCAGTATGTGCTAAAACTGTTTCTTTCAGTTTTATTCAGAGGCGTATGCATTACTAGAGCCACTCGATAGAAAACTATTAAATGAGGTGCCCTTTTATGCAAAGAGGGGTGTGTGTGAGCGATGCCAGCCTCTGTGTGCCTACAAGGCGTTTCTACAGGTATCAGTGTTATCAGGGAAGAACCATTACATCTAACTGTCCCCACTACCACTTGAGAACTGCAGTTGGAGGCTGCCAGAGGCAAGCTTAGAAGGGGTTGTTGGCTTAAGTTTGTCTGCTTGCCTAGAATGAACGTATACCATGCTCTCCTCAAGAAGTCTTTGACACTCTACTGGGTCTAAGGGCACAACTTCTCTGTGCCAGCTCAACTAGACCACAGAAAAAGCAGTTGAGGGGCAGGAGGATGTGAAGTAGGCAGTTTGAGCAAGAAGCCAGAGTAGTGAGTACGCTCAGAAGCATGAGCACATGGGATTAATTTAGACTAGGATTAAACATAATCACCTTGGAGGTAGGGGCTCTGGTTTAGCTTTGGTTATTAATATGCCAGAGTTAGCAAAGTGGGGGAAATGGGCCAAAGGACTTCCAGCAGGACAAGGGAGAGGACAGGGAGGGAGGGGAAATCAAAATGGCCAGAATATTGCAAAGGTCGGTGATGCAATCTTGCAACAGCCTTCCTAGTCAGTCAGACTGAGCACTGAGGAAGGGATGGGGAAAGGGTTGCTTCAGGGATCAAATATTTCAGTTTTTTGAAATGTTAACAGCAATCTTTCTTGGGGGTCTGAAGCAATTTCCCAGACAACTCAGTTTAAAAAAGAAGGCGATAATAATAACTACTCTTTGCCTTGGCTATGAGTAGTTCAGGTAAGGACTTGTGTGTGGAGGGCAGTCAAGGTTACCTAAATAGTTAATTTAAAATTCTACATTTTAGTGTGTTCACAAGCAGCCAAGGTGACCAGGAATCAAATAGGAATTATTTCTGGAGGATTGTGTTCCCTGTTTATTGTTCTTTGAACCTCGTCAGGCAGGAAAATTCTGTAGCAAGAGTCCAAGCCAAGTTTAATATTAGTCGTGGCATTTTCTTTACGTCTTCCTTATAATTTCAGAGTAGTCTCTAACAACTGGCAGAAATGACTTGTGAGCTTTCCCAATATCTGTGAGTGTTCCAAACCCAGTGGGTTCTGAAAAAGCATATGATGTGTGTCTTGACATGACGGCTGTCACTTAGCTTCCATTCTGAAGGTGAGTCAGCCCAAGTTGGGACCCAGAAGTCCAAAATTGACTGGCCAGTAAGCATTTCCTATATTTTCTGTAACTCAAAGACGTAAACCATATATCTTCCTACGTCAGTAAGCTGCAACTTACGTGGGGTTCCCCTTTCCTGTGATTTGCTGTGTTAGAACACATCACCAGCTCAGATGAGTTCCCTTTTTTCTCTTTGATCACCTAACTTTGACCCCCAGGTCCCACCAGCTTCCTGAACAAGGACTGGACAGAGAAGGCAGCAAGTGCCATGGATTGAAGTCACCAATGGATTTGATGTTCCTGGTTTAGGTGGTAGCTGTGGCTGAGTAGGAGGTAATGGGAGCAGAAGGTTAAGGAATCCAGTGTCACCTTACACCTGGGAATTTCTGAACAGAGCTCATCTGTCTGGGTAGGAAAACAGAACCCAGCTCCTAGGTAGAAGGGGGTTAGGTAGGACTTGGAAACTAAACATGTATTTTAATAGGACTGATGTCACTTTTAGAGAAGTAAAGCATTGTGCTGCAACATGCAGGTGAGATCAAGCCATAGGGTGCTCAGGGTTGAAGGGTTTTCTCAGAAGGACTTTTATTACTAAAACAGAGATGGCTCCAGGAAAACTGAAATACGAGAGGGACCCAAAAAAACCCTGGATATTATTTATAAAAACTTGTGTATTTATTTTTACATGTTTATTTTATTTTATTTTTTTTTAGTTGGAGTCTCACTCGGTCACCCAGACTGGAGTGCAGTGGCTGCTCCTGGCCACCGCAGCCTCGCCTGCTGGGCTCCGGTGGTCCTTCCGCCTCAGCCTTCCGAGTAGCCGGAATTACAGGCATGCACTACCACGCCCAGCTGATTTTTTGATTTACTGTAGAGATGAGGTCTTGCTGCCCAGGCGGGTCTTGAACCTGCCTGCAGGCTCAGGCAATCCACTCACCTCAGCCTCCCAAAGGTGTGGGATTACAGACTGAGCCACCGAGCCCGGCTTATTTTTACATGTTTAAACTTCAGTCACCTTCAAAGTACTCTCCATTTATTGCAATAAACCAATCGAGACACTTTTCCCACTGCTCAAAATAGTTTTTGAACTTGTCAGTTTTGAGTGCTTCTGCCTTTTTTTGTCTCACCTCCTCCACGTTGGCAAAACATTTCCCTTTAAGGACTTTTTTCACCTGAGGAAACCAAAAAAGTTGCTTGGGGTGAGATTCAGTGAATAGGTAAGGTGGAGTATGGGGATCATGCCATTGTGGGGCAAAAAATGCTGAACACTCAGGTGGTGTGGGAAGGTGTACTTGTAAATCACCCATCATGAAATGGGCAAACGCATTGAAAGAATCTCAAAAAAGAAAAAAATGCATTGAAGCTCTCATAGCCTGTCACAACAACGTTGACTGGTACACTGAGGCTGATGGGTTCCTGGAACACTAGCCTATTGGGGGAAGCCAGTACTATAAGGGGCCTGCCATTCAAAATATAATTTCCTATCATTGAGGATATCCAAATATTTAATTCTTGCCATTTGTAATTTAAAATCTATTTTGCTTTCCAAATCTCTTTCTCCCAAATATTAAAACATCCAGAGCCATCTGCAGAAGGAAAAATATCGCAAAAGGGCAACACGTGGTTCAAGGGCTAAGTACAGAAGAATAGAACTGTCTCTAAAACTCTCCCTTGGGGATTGAAGACACAGAGGTCAGAGGTCTCTTTGATGGTTAGCTGTGTATGAACTTTAATTATAATTACTTTGTTAGCAGCTGCTTGCTGCCTATACAAAGCCACTGCCCACCCCTGGGATTCCAGGAAGTCGAAGGGAGGGGAGTCATCATAAGAGATATGATAAAACTACATGTATATCTTAAGTTCCACTTAAAATGTTTAGTCCTTGAGTTACTTTCATATCGTGTAAATTGGTTTGGAAAAGAAGGCTTCTTACCAATCAAATATCAATGGATGATTTTTAAATTTATATGTCTAACCTTTATCTCTCCTGGTCTTGTAGACTAGAGTTCTAGAGTCTACATATTTCTGTGTGGATATCTTGGTGCTATTACAGCTTAACACATCTAAAACAAGACTCCTCACCTTCTTTATCTTATTACAAATGAAACCCCTTTCTCAAAATCCTTTTTCTAACAGTGATATTTCCGTTTTATTTTTTCTCTGGGCTTGAAATACTGTGCCAATTTCCTGGAGAGTCCTTCTCTGACTACTCTGTTTCCCCAATCTCCACCCAGTACTCTGTTTTTCCTCATAGCATTTGTTACTTGATTTTATACTGGTATAATTATTGGTTTGGTTTTATATTGTCTTCCACATGCATTGCAGGATAAGATTTTTGAGGACCAAGGCTTTGTTTTCCTTTTCACCATGTCCTCAGTGACCAGTATGATCTTTGGCACATAGTAGGTGCTTCATGGATAACTATGGGATTAGTGCATGGCTTCCTCATTGGACTATGAAGCTGGCAGAAGAGGGATGGTTTATTATGTTTGTATGCAGCCCAACTTTTAGTGGATGCTCAAAGAAGCACTCAGGTTTTTGAGAGGACAGTTTTTTGCATTTAGTCTTCTCTAATTTCTCTTAAACACTACCACCAAGTGGATCTTCCTACAATTTTATTTTTATTGGTAACTCCCTGTTTTTAAAGCCCAAGGTCATTTCTCACTGCCCACATGATAGACTCCTGTATTCTGCATGTTGAATTTGCTTGGTCTAATATTCTTGAAATTTAGGAACTCTATGATTGGACCTTCCATACCCACTAACTTTATCTCCCATTCTTCTCCTACAAGGACACTTTACTTCACTGAGAGATTTCTTCACAGGCCAAGACACAATTCATTCTCATTCCTGCCACTTCATTTTTGTTCATATTCTTCTTTCTACCTGGAATGCTATCATCTTTCTGCTTTGTCTTCATTTCTTCCTTGAAACCAAGTTCAAGTTCATGTACTCCAAGAAACTACTCCCAACATGCCAGCACGCCCTGATCTCTCCTTTCTGTGAATTTCAGCTGTCTTTGGGGCTCACACTGCACAGGTTGGCACTGGATTGTATACTGTTTTACACAACTCTCTCATTGTTTCCTGTGGGTTTGCTTCAGCTCTGTGGAAGACCAAAGCTTTTTTGCACCTTTTATAGTGTTAACATATAGTAGGGGCCCAATCCTTATTAGTCACATTGACCTAAAAGTTGGTGTTGGGATAGAAATTGCAAAATGACCAGTTAAGTTTCTCTTAAGAGGTTATTTTAGGCACAGTGGCCTGTCCTTGGCTCAGAGCCTTGGGGTTG